TTGATAATATGGTCCATCAAAATGTGGAGTACTACATTGATGATCTTGTGATGAAATCAAACAAGTGAGAAGATTACATCCAAAACCTTCGAGAAGTTTTTCAACGAATTCGAAGATATCAATTGAAAATAAATCCTTTAAAGTGTGCATTTGGAGTCGTTTCTCGTTTCATCGTTCATCAATATTGGATAGAGGTTAATCAATTTAAAATTGATGCCATTGTCAATATGTTTGAACCACAAAACATTCATGAATTAAAGAGTTTTTAAGGAAAATTGACTTATATTCCGAGAAGTTTATCTCTAATTTGGCCGGCGGGTGATACCAATCCTTTAGTCGTTTGATGAAGAAAGGGGTACCTATTGTAGACATCAAAATTTCATCATTTTATTTTATTTATTCATTTTTATGATAAATTTTGTTTATTTTGTTTTTCTTGAGGAAAATCATTTTAGAAAAAAAAAGAAAATTAGGAAGAAAGGAAAAACAGAAAAATTAAAATCAGTTTTGTGCAAAAAAAAAAAACTATTCCACGCGTGCCATTTTCTTCTTCATCCGTACAGAAGCCAGGATCAAGCTCAAAAATTGTAGCGGCCATTTGTCCAATTTTTACTCATTTTTCTTTGGCATTTTTCCAGCCCTTTAGTACAAGAGGACACTTCATCAGCATGAATCATCAAGATCTTTCCAGAATCAAGAGCCATCTAAGGGCTCAAATTTTGGCTAGAAAAATGCAGCAAACAACTACCATTGATGCTAGGTTTTGGGGGTATCTGGTGGGCCTATAAAAGGCCAGAAAACGAGAGGGTTAGGAGGAGAAAAAAGGAGTTGGCGGCTAGGGAAGCAAAAGAAAAGGCTACCGAGAGTAAAAGATAGAGAGAGGGGGACAGCAAGAGGGAGCTCGAAAAAGGAAAGGGAAGAGCTACGGGTGGGCGGTGGAGAAAAACAAGAAAAGAAAGAAAGAGAGGGAGAAAAGGGGAGACTGAGTGAAGAACAAGAGGGGGGAAAAACCTAGGAGAATCAGTGAGATCAAAAGAAAACACACGACATCGTCAGTCCGTGAGAGGAACATGGCAGCGCAGGAGTTGAGCTGATTTCCCGCAAAAAGTCCTCGCAAAGACTTGCTCTTCCGATCATCTCATCCTTGTTTTGCCTTTTAAAAGGCTAAAAGGTGATGCTTTCCGCCTTGTCTGTTCATAGCTGTTTCTGTTTTCCTCCGTCCTTGTACGTTCTGTTTGTGGATCTGGTTGGGGGTGGGGGGTGGGGGCAAGAAGAAAGGTTTTGATCCATGATTCTTGCATTGTGTAGTGTTTTCTTTTTTGCAAAAAAGGGGTAAAGGGTGTCAACCAGAGTCGTTCCATCCCTTACCATGATGGTTTTATGTTTATGCTTTCCTTTTCGGTTTTGTTTCCTGCTCAAGATTGATTAATGGTTCGGTTAGAATGTTTGTGTTTAGATGCTGAAGTGTTGTGTAGTGGATGGTGTTTCATAGTCTTCTTTTGGGTCAAATCTTGGCGATTATTGGCAGGGTTTACTGACTAATAAATAACCCATAAGGAGGTTGCAGAAGTTTTCTTTCGGTTTGTGAAGTCGCAGAAAGTTTCCAGCTTTGCATGTTTTTATTCTGACTTTTTTTTATGCTTAAATCCAAAGGTTTTATGTTGCAAAGTATGAAGAATGTTTGATGATCTTGTTGCCTGGGTTTAGATTGCCTTTGGCTGAGATTTGTGCATAAAATCTGCTGCAACAAGCTCGAAGCTCTCGGCTTGTTGCAGCAGTATGGGCAGATAATCTTTTCTTTCTTTGGTTGCTGAAGTTGTGGCTTGTTTGACGTCCTTGTTTTGTTTGCTGCTTGACTGGGATGCCATGAACATGTATGTTATCAAAGCTGTGTTTAGAATCTTTTTGTTGGGAACTTAGGGACAGAAGCCATTGGTTCTCTTTCATGCATGAACCTCGGGGCTTAGGTTGTTTTCTTTTTTTTGAAGATCTGTGGGTTCAAAGTTGCCGCAAATGTTGATATCACTTTGCTGTATTTTATGTCCGAGAGCCTTGTTGCATGTTATCTTTCCTTTCTCCCTCATCCCAAGTTCATGCATTCGGGTTTAGTTGTCGAATCAGTTAAGGCTTCTTTGAATTGCTTCGCGTGAATATGTTTCGGATGAATGAAAGTTGCAGGAAAAATGGCACTTGGGATCCTCGGTGACATGAATCCAATGCCAAACCAGTGCCACCTATAATTTGCGCCACTTGGCCTATTATTATTTGCATTTTAATTTTTTAATAATTCAACTTGGTTTGGTTTAACACAAATTTTGTGTTAACTCTAAAACTTTGAACCAAAGTAACCAACCGGTCTAATTCCATTACCGGTGCTTTCATCATTGATTACCTTCAACATCTCCAATCCACTCTGATGAGGTCCACATCTTCAGAGTCGTCGTCCTTTATTTCCACCACCGCTCCCGCCATTCCACGTGGCATCACCTTCACTGCCGATTGCCTCACCGTCAAAGGCACCAAGGACGTCCTTAACAAGCCCTTCTCTTTCGAGCTCTCCACTGGCAGGGATACCATGTACTTCATGGCTGAGTTTGTAGAAGGGAAGAAAATGGGGGAACAAGAAAAAGGAGAGAAAAAGAGAGCAAGAGGACTTCGGTTAGAAGGGAAGGTGAAAGAGGGGTTGGAAAAAGCTAAGGGAAAAAGCAGAGGGGAACTTCGTCTGGGAGCCAAGGGAAAGAAAATAAAAGAAACGGGCGGCGGACGGAGAGCCTAAAGGAGAAGAGACCGAGAGAGTTGAGGGCAAAAGAAAGATTGAGGGAGAGGTGACAGCAAAAGGAGGGCGGCGAACGGAGGAGCTTTGGGGAGCAAAAGAAAAAGGAAACAAGCGACGGGGGAGAGATTTTGGGGTGAGCGAAAAAAAAACAGAGAAGGAAATAGGGGCGGCGGATGGAGAGTTGAAAGAACGGAGGAAAGGGGGAAAATCTGGAATTTGGAGGAGGAATTCCGGGCAGGGTAAAACGGATGGAAAGGAGCAAGCAAAAGAGAGGAACTGAGGACTTCGTCTGAAAAAAACCAAGAAAGGGAAGAGGGGATGACGGCAGAAAGAAACAGAGAAAGAAAGATGGCGGTGGACGAAGAGGTGCGGCTGAGAAAGAGCCGGAATCCACCATTGCCGCCATTCAATGCAAGAGCACTGTAAGTCCTTTTCTTTAAAAATTTCAGTTCTTGTCAAGCTCACAAAGCAGTCTGCCGAGCCTTTATTCACTACAATTTTCCTATTAATTGTTCACAATTTTGGATTGTATGTGCCTTATATGCTGAATTGGACCGAAATCTCTTGTTGATTGAACAATTTTGAGCCAACCAAGACCTCATTTGAGTAGGGAATTGCTGAAATTTCCATGCCCATTTTCGGTTTTGAGTATCATTGTGTTATATTTTACTTGTCTGTTTATGATTTGTAAGGAAGTTATAGTTTTTCTAGAATTAAATGTGAAGCACGCTAGCAACCATCAATCGTTACAAGTATATGATGATATATGGTTTTTCTCGGCCTGGAATTTTGTCTTTCTTTTCTTCAGTTGCTTGGAAGAAAGTAAGATGAAATGCTCCATTATTTTAGCTTTGTCATGCAGCAAATCTTTTTGCTCACAGTTTGTTGCTTGTAGAAAGAACGAAAGAAATAGAATGTACTTGGTTTTGAAAGTGTAACACGCCAGGGAGATGTTAAGTAGGTACTTGGTTTTGTAATGCAGTCTAGTATCAGTTGTATAGGGAGAACAAATGCAAAGGAGAAATATAGGGAACCTATTCTTTTTTTCAATTGTAACACCCTTTATGTTGCAACTTATAGAATGATCCTAGTTAAATCCATGACTAGAATTAGTTGAATGGTGATGTTAAGTTTGTGATGTCTTTGTTTAATCTATTTGTAATTAACCTTAATGTCTTTGGTTTACTTTTCATAATTCAGAGGTGGTTGTTGCATGAATTTCAAAGTTTTCCTTGACGTATTCTAAACATTGTGGAATCCTTTGTTTTTCACCATTTCATTTTTTTCTGTGGTCTTTGCCTTGCTGGAAGGAACTTGACTTTTGGTGATCTCACTGTAGGTAAAACAAATGGTAGTCGCAACACTTGCTGGAATAGTTTAGAAAATATAACAGCAAAGTTTTGATATTTTGCAATGCAGAAAAATTTGCTATTATCTATAGTTGTTTCTATAGGGAAATGGTTCATGATGCTCTGTTAACGATTGCAGTAACTCATGCCTTTTGTTCTTGATAAGACAAGCATTTACCTTTTATGCATCCGCTTCCAGGAAATTCTTAGAAGTTATTTGGAACACTTTCTTGGAGCAAGAAGCTAATATATTAATCCATTTTCTGTTTTCAGACCTTTGAGGAAGCTGATACCAAGCATGATGGAAAGATTGACAAAGAAGAGTGGCGTAGCCTTGTTCCAAGACATCCTTCTCTTTTGAAGAATATGAAGCAGAAACATGAGCAGCAGGGAAATTGCAACAAGAACTTTGTCCTGTTGGTTCTTTGTCAAGCATAGCATCTAAGTCAATTATGTTTTATGACACAAGATATGTAAGAGTAGACTGCATTTTCTCGGCGTGAAGTTTTTATCCCTTTGTTTACTGTATGCACTCCATATTCGCTATTTGCATGCAAAATGAACAATGTCAGCTTTTGTTTCAGTTAAATTGAAGTTCATGCTAAATAATTAATGTTTTACAGGGATTATTATGCTTGTGTTGTGTCCATTATCAGAATTGAAAATATAAACTTATGTCAAGAGGGGCGATAGTCATGATACTATGGTTTCCAAGCCTCTTCACATTCCACAGTATCCAAATGTCATATTGAATTTTGGAATGGTAACAAAGTGTTCAAATGAAAGATCTAAAAACTTCAGTACTAGTGTCAATTGAAACATATATTCTATATAGAAGAATGTGCATTAATTTTGGGAAGCACGAAAAGCTCCATTGTCAATTTCTGTCAAATTTTCAGGTCTTTTGTCCACTTGAACACTTGCACGAAATATCATTGATGCATGGAACTGGACAACCACACCTATCATTGCAATCAACTCCAACTTCTTGTCCCATAGTGCAAGAGTTGTCATTCAACTCGAACTGATTTATTTTCGCTCCTTCGAAACCATGTAATTCTTGTGCCTATGGTTAGAATTATATCACCAAAAAATTGAACACATAAATAAATGGATGAATAAAAAAAGACAATAAAAAATCTTTTCTTAAAGAAGTAATTATTCATGATCACAACTGTAATAATTTACCTTGAGCAAGCCGGTCATGTTCGTGGAACTGAAAGTGCATAGCTGGCCATAATTTTGTTGATTAACATCCAAATTCACAAACTATCAACCACAAAAGTGAAAAATATTCATGAACTTTAGTACAAACCAAAACATAAAATTTTTATAAAATAATTTTATGCAAATAAGAAACTAAAAAATTACCGGTGTAGGATGATATGGTTGCACAAAGTTGCTTTGTTGAGATTGCAAAGATTCTATCACACTTATTGGCATAGAATAACATGGTTGGATAAAAGTTTCTTGTTGATACCGTAAAGATTCTACCATGCTCCCCTCATTTGTATTTGCCTAAAAATAAAAATAAATAAACACATTTATAAATAGTTTGACAGTAAATAATACTTAATTGTTAGTCTACATATAATGTCGAATCATTACCTCTTGTAATCCATGCTGTTGCATACTGCACCTCGTAGATACAATATTTATAGTATCTCCTATAGGCTAATGAAAAGAAAAAACAAAGATTGGATGCATAATATAAGAAAATATTGAATTACAAATATAGTAAACTTATAATGTAATAAAACCTCATTATGTGATGACGCTGGTAACTCCATAGTTATACTATTTTGCAAACTTTTTTTGGTTGATCTTCTTCTCTTAGTAGCCTTTTCTAGACTACTCTTCAATCTCTTGCCTGAAATAGTCTTCATCTTTTTTTTAATACCCTTGATATTGATACCACTTGCATTAGTAGTGTTATTTGTGGGGTTGGAAACTTTTGCTGCATTTGACATCTCATTGCTCGACCCCTTGATGTAACCTTGCATCAACGAAATCCAATATTTTCAAAAGGCCTTCTTTAGCAATTTTATAAGTTTCTTCTGCTTGAGCAGTGTTGCGCCCCACTTTCTGAAATGGTGTGGAAATAGTGTGTGAAATGCATGTGAACGTGTGCAAAAGTGAAAATAAAGGCCGTGGGATTGTGAAATGCGATGGTTTGGCCAAATAAAGTTCAAAAAGGGTTTTTTGGATGAAAAACGGAGTCGCAACTTAGTATAGAGTTAGGGTGTACCAAGTCACCAAAAATGATTTTTGTTTTTGAACGAAAAAGTAAATAAACCCTTTTTAAGAACTTTTAGGTCTACGTAACCAAAGAAAGGGATCGGGGTCACATTTGATAAGGGAGAAGGCAAAGGCAAAGCCTAAGGCACTCCCTTACCCTAGCAAGAGCTAGTTGCGTGACTTAGCCCCACTTTTCCTAATTCTTCTACCCAAGGTATGTATCGCATGTTGGATATGACTAATGGATGCGAAAAGGAAAGAAAAATGCAATCCTAAATCTAAGATGTCTCTTATGAGGCTTTTTGGTCCCAACCACATGAATTGTGGTGGCCAATAAGGAAATCTCTCATAGAAGTCGTGATTAATGCAAATGAGGACTCAAGTGTAAGTGTGCACGTGTGGGAAGATAAAGGTGTGTTTGTGTGTGCAAATGAATGAAAATATGATAGTAGATACGTATAAGTGCAATTGGGTGCCATAAATAAGTGATAGGAAGAAAGTGGTGAGAAAGTGTGAATTGAGAAAAATCTAAATAGTGAGAAAATGTGGCCAAAAGAGTGAGGAGGTGATGATAAAGATGAAAGTGTATGACCCTAAAGGAATGCATCAAGTCGGGCACGGGAGTGACTCCTAAATTCACGACTTTGATTTTCCCTTGGATTAGAAGGAAGAACTAGCGTGCTAAGGCTATTTCGTAGCCACACTCGCTCGTTTCCCTTATCGAAAGGGGACTCTCAAGCAAATATACCCTATAACTAGCATGAAGATGCAAAAACCTAAAATGAAGGGAAAAGGGTTGGAGGGGCATGCCAAATGATAGAAAACTAAGAAAAATGCATGAAATGTAGTGAAACATGCAAGTATGAACTAGCGAGGGAAATCCCTAAGGGTCTAGCGTTGGACTAGCCCATATCTATGAATTCCCACTAGCGTTGGACTAGTGAAAAACGGGACAATGAGCCACGACTAGCGTTGGACTAGTGTGGTGACGTACATTCATCCATCACATTCATCTACGACTATAGAAAGTAAGTAGACATGCCAAACACTCATAAACACATAGCACATAACACTTAGCATGCTCGACTAGATGCAAGAACCTAATAAAGCAAGTAACACATAACACATAGGCATGCAACCAATCTAATGAGCCTATTACATTCGCTAACTAAAACAAAAGGGGAAGGGGAAGAATGGACAAGAATGCTCGCCAAGCCCTATCTATTACAAGCCAAGAGGTGTACACATACCCTATTAAAAGAATAACTTAATGAAAGTAAGAGTAAATGAAGTAAATGAAAGGAATTAAAGAAAAACAAGGGAAGCAAGTAGACATGCAATTCTCACTTAGCACGTTGGATCACATAGGGGAGAAACACAAAAGATAAAAGAAGTTATACCTCCCTTGAGTCGATGCCCTAAATGGAGTGAAGTCGCTTATTTATCCTCCAAAATAGAAGAAATGGTCAAGGTACCAATTTATTTGGAAAAATTAAAGAAAATGTGCAAAACAAAGCTCACTTGATCATGAATCCCCTAAAATCATGACTTAAGTGCAATTGACAAAGCATGGTAGTTAATTGAAGCAAGCAAGCAATGAAATTGTAAAAATTAAAGCTGCCAAGGACCAAATTGAGGAAATTATTCAATTGATTGGGTCATAGTAACATTAGTTATAAGCCAAGGGGTCAAAATGAAATTATTGAAAGCTGTTTTTGCATGGAAAGCATGCAAAAGCCACGAATGCTTCTGCAACATTTGATACGCTTTTATTCTCAGCATTTCGAACCCAAAAACCACAATTTCAGTCCAAATTCTTTCAGCCAGGCAACAAAACTTTGACTAACAACAAGATTCACGACTTCAATATCCAGCACGGGCCAAAACACAGAAGGGAAGTCACGCAAACGCTGGAGAAGTTTGTGCAGAAATGGTTTAGCAATCATGACTCGTTTCCTTTCAGCAAGCATTTGATCATAGCCTAAGCATTCTTTTAGACCCCAAACACGCAAACCCGACACCAAATCATTCCATTCCCTGCCCTCCACACCAGATTTAGCATGCAGCTTAAGTATAAGAACTCGATGAACAGCTACGGAAAAGAAAACAGAACAGAAAATGCAATTTCTTTTGTTCTTTGCTGCGGAATTTTCTGCTGCTAAGGGCATCATGTCCATTACGCACCCATTACACCATGCTACTCCAAAATAAAAGAAAGGACCAATGCAACCCAGAAAAAACAAAAAGTTCTAAGAATTGAACAAAACAGAAACAAACTTCAACAACCCAAGAGAAATAAAAAAAACTGTTCGCTAAGTAGCAATATGATCGAGAGGACTCTTGATTTCTTTAAGCTTTAATGTAATGTCTTAAAAGGGACTAAGTACAACTCCTAACTCACTCCAGTACAAAGCTTGGGACAACGGGGAGAGGGAAGATTAAATGCAGCAATGCGACACGAAATGCAGCAGGGAAAATCAAGACTTGCGGCACGCATAGATAACTCACAGCAGTAAAATACCCAACAAGGATGAACCTTTCAAGTATGTCAAAACTTCAATGCAACAGAGGAAAAGGAAACTATGACATGGTATTTCAAAATGGTTGGTAAATCAAAACTTCCACCTAAACAATATCAGCAATTAAAGAGAGAACAATCTGCCCGTGCGTGTTGCTGCCACAAAACCCAGCATTTCAAGTTTGTGGTGGCAGACTCTAAAACTGACTCTTAAGGGTCCTAACAGCTATAACAAATGACGTTCCAGACCATTGCTTGATCAAATCAAGGGACAAGCATAAAGGATGCACGGGGCAAAAGTAGTTGGCTTGCTTTTTGAGGAGACCCATAATGATATCATCGGAAACTGATTGAAAGTTTACAGCTTTATCATCAGAAAAACCAAGAGGACATTCATGACACAGATCCATCATCTCCCAAGATGCACAAAAGATAGTAACATGAAGGAAGAAACCTCACAACAAGTTTTAGCTACAATTCCATTTAACACCCAGATGAATGGCCTGATGCTTGATGAACGAGAGGGCAGAGAATGAAAGGTTACCTGCGCTCCCTTGAATTGCAGAAAGACGGCGTCGGGATGGAGGAACAATGAATCTCAGCGCAAAGCAGAACAAAGCTGGGAAAAGTTTCATCTTTTTGCTGCAACTGCTTCCAGATTCTGCATCACCTCTCTTCTCGTTGAGTTGCCCGTTGCTATTTTCCCTTTTTTTTGTTTTTCTTTGCTCAGCCTCACTCTCCCTTTCTATCCAAAACCCTCGGCTCTCCTGGTAAGCTCTCCTTGGTTCCTTCCTCTCCAGCCCTCTCTTTTCCAGTTCTCCACACGGAAACCTCCAGCCTTTAGACACCAACAACTAAATCCAAACCAATTCCAGTCAAAATGGCCAATTACCAGTACAGTTTTCGCATTCTGTCCAAAGCAGAACAGCTACAGTAATTTCGTCATAACTCATTCTACATTAATCCAAATGACCTGAAATTTTACAGGCACCTCAAACACATCAATACCTACAATTTTCATGTTTTGAGCAAAGTCAAATTCGGCCTCTAACCCTATGATCCAAAACCATACAGAATTAGGGATTTTCAAACCCTAACTTGCTAATTTATCTTCCAAACCAGAAATTTGCTGCAATTAACTACCATTCACACCAACTAGCTTCATTCCCAATCATTTCCAATCATCATACATAGCCACATCATAGTAATCATATGCAACCAGCAAAAATCCCAAATAAATAGAAAACTTCATCAATCTTAACCAAAATCAAGAAATAGTCCACAAAATCACACTTATAACAACCACAAGTCATTTATTAAGCATCTTTAGATAGAAGAGAGGGGTTCCATAGTCACTTACCTTAGAACCAAAGAAGAGAGACCACTTAGCACCTTAAGCTTCCAACCAACTTCACCACACAACTCACTATCACTCACTTCATGGATTTTATGGAGGAACTTGAAGATTAATCGGTTTAGTTGAGAGATTGGGCAAGATTGAAGAAAAGATTGTGGAGAGTTTCTTTTCTCTTTTTGCTTGGAGAAGGTCGGCCAAAGAGAGGGAAGAAATGGTGATTTTTTTGTGAAATTTTTAGATATTTAACCAATTTTGGTCAAAAGTCAAAAAATGAAATAGTAATTCATAAGTCTTCTCCAATGAAATGGTGACACTTGTCACCACCTTTAATGCATTCCTATCATTTCTTTTCTCTCTCACATCAATCAATTCACACTCTCTACTTATCTCTTAACACCCGATAAATTTTACACAGTATCCGGAATTTAACCTAATTGGCCGAATTTTCCCAAACTTTTCGCACTAGCGGGTCCCACTTCCGATATACGTTCTTAATTTCTCAAAAACAAACTAATCCTAGAAAAATCATCTAAAAACTCTATTTACTCAATAAAAATTATCTAGGGAATTTTCTAATAAAGAAAATGTAGAAAAGGACGGGCGATAAATATAACTCCACTTAAGCTTTCTAACATTGTGACACTAGAGGTTTACTAATCCAGAGTTTACTAACCATTTTCAAACTTGTTAAACCTCTGTAAACTATAACGAATCCTATTTTTTTTCTTGTGCCAAAACACACACTAGAATACCGCATAAACTAGGGTTTTATCGTAAGCAAAGTTAGGGTTTTCAATCTTGGCCGAGATTAGGGTTTCTCCTTAGCCCTATAACCTTAATTTAACCGTACAAAATAATGAATAACCCTAATCTCAACGTATGAACGGACTAGGTCCTCACAAACACGATGACTCCGGAAAGAAAGAACAAGCCATCTACTATCTTAGCAAGAAATTCACTCAATATGAGGCTCATTATTCATTTACTGAGAAAAGCTGCTGTGCATTGGCCTGGGCAGCTCAAAAGTTGAGACACTACCTGGTAAGTCACACAACTTATCTCATATCTCGTTCTGATCCTCTAAAATATCTCTTGGAGAGGCCGATGCCAACTGGGCGTCTGGCTAAGTGGCAGATGATTCTTTCAGAATTTGATATTGTTTTCACTTTGCAAAAGGCCATCAAGGGACAAGCTATAGCCGACCATTTGGCAGAAAATCCAAACGAAGATGACTATCAACCGCTCCATACTTATTTCCTCGATGAGGAGGTTTTACTGGTTGGTGCTACAGAAGATATGAGTGAGCGGTGCCCTGAATGGAGGTTGTTTTTCGATGGTGCCGCTAATTCTTTCGGAGCTGGAATTGGAGCCGTTCTTGTATCTCCAGAAGGGAAGCATTACCTCGAAACTGCTAAATTACGATTTGCCTGTACAAACAATATGGCCGAATATGAAGCCTGTATTTTTGCTCTTAAAATGGCTTTGGAAATAGAAGTTAAAGAGCTGACAGCCTTTAGTGATTTAGATTTACTTGTGCACCAAACGTTGAAACAATGGATAACCAAAGATTTCAAGATCTTGCCATACCATTGTAATTTGCTTAATCTGGCTAGACAATTTCAAAATTTGGAATTCAGACATCTCCCACGAGCCCGAAATGCATTTGCCGATGCCTTGGCCACCTTATCTTCTATGATACAATATCCGGACGAATTAGGAATCGAGCCTATCTGGATCCAACTCCAGGACAAGCCTGCTCATTGTTGGGTCGCAGACAAAACATCTGGCAATAGCCCTTGGTACAATGATATTAAGGAGTTCATCAAAATCGGGTCTTACCCTCCAGAAGCTACTGCAAATGACAAAGGTTTCCTGCGCAGAATGGCCTCGAAGTTTTTCTTAAATGGAGAGGTATTGTACAGAAGGACCTCAGATTTGAACCTCTTAAGGTGCATCGATGAAGATGAAGCTCAGTATATGATGAAAGAGGTGCATAGTGGTGTTTGCGGATCTCACATGAATGGATATTTATTAGCCAAGAAAATCATGAGAACTGGGTATTTTTGGCTCACTATGGAACGTGATTGCATAGATTTTGTCCGGAAATGTATCAAATGTCAAATGCATGGTGACGTTATACGCGCTCCTCCCACCGAATTGCATAGCATGATTGCCCCATGGCCCTGCTTAATGTGGGGTATGGACGTGATCGGCACAATTGACCCTCCTGCTTCAAATGGGCATTAATTCATATTGGTGGTGTCGCGCCCTATTTTTTGATAAATAAATAAATGGTTTAAAAAATGTATTTTTTGATTCAATTTGTGATTGGAAAATGAATTGTGATTTAAAAGAAAAATGGGTCTAAATGGGGGTTTGAGAATGCGACGATTTGACCCAAAATTATAGTTTAAAAAGGGTTTTTTGAAATAAAAAATCGGAGTCGCCACTTGGTAATGAGTTAAGGTGTACCAAGTCACCTAAAAATGAATTTTTTTTAATAATAGGAAAAAGTAGTAAGAAACCCCTTTTAAACGACTCCTAGTCCACGTAAACCAACGAAAAAGGTTCGGGAGTCACATTTGACGAAGGGGAAGGCAAGAATAAAAATCCAAGGCACCCCTTCGACCTAGCCAAGGCTAGTTGCGTGATTTAATCAAAGATTTTCTTGTTTTAACCAAAGAATTTATTACATTTGGATGTACTACATGAATGCAAACCCTAGACCTAGGGGACATGGGGGAAATTTCTCTTCAAAGGTTGAGTGGTGCCAATCACATTAATTGTGAAGCCCAATAATGACCCTTTGGAGAGGTCACACATAATCCTAAATGACGTAAAAAATGAGTGAAATGAATGCATGCCATGTGAAAATGTGAGTTTGTGTGAAGTGAAAAGTGATAAAAACAAGAGTGTGTAAGTGGAAGTGTGCAAATGTGATAAAAGTGCATGTGTGCACATGTAAGGAAAGTGTACGTGTGCCAAGTGAGAGAGTAAGAGTGTTTGTGTGCAAAATAGATGAAAATAGGGTATGATAGTAGTAAATAAGTGCAATGTGTGAGACATGTCATTTTAAATTGAAAAAGGTATAAGTAGTAAAAAAAATGGATAAAAAGGTGAGAAAATGGTATGAAAATGTATGAACCTAGAGGAATGCATCAAATCGGGTACGGGGACTCCTAACTTTGTGACTTTAATTTTCCCTTTGATTAGAAATGATAACTAGCGTGTTAAGGCTATTTTTGTAGCCACACTCGCTCGTTTCCCTTATCGAAAGGGGACTCGTCAATCAAATGTCCCTATAACTAGCATGAGATGCACAACCTAAAATGAAAGGGAAAGGGTTAGAGGAGCATGCCAAATGATAAAACTAAGAAAAAATGCATGAAATGAGGTGACACATGCAAGTATGGACTCACGGGAGAAATCCCTAAGGGTCTAGCGTTGGACTAGCCCATTCTATAAATTCCTACTAGCGTTGGACTAGTGGAAACGTACATTCATCCATCACATTCATTCATAGCTATGGAAAGCGAGTAGACATGTCCAACACTTATAAACACGTAGCACATAACACTTAGCATGCTCGACTAGATGCAAGAGCCTAATAAAGCAAATTAACACATAGTAACTAAGCATGCAAGACACATAAAGCAATTAAAACCCTAATTATTACATTTGCTAGCTAGGCACATGTCTTCAACAGGTCTTCATCGAATGCTCCTCCAAGCCCTATCTATTACAAGCCAAGAGGTGTACACATACCCCATAAAGAACAACTTAAATGAAAACAAAAGTAAATGACATAACTAAAAGGAATTAAGGAAAAGCTAGGAAAGCAAATTAGACATGCAAATCTCACTTAGCACGTTGGATCACATAGGAGACACAAAAGGGATAAAAGAAATTATACCGCCCCCTTTGAATGGTGTCCAAATGAAAGAAAAATGGCTTCAAAACAATAAAAAGGTCACGGTACCTCAAATATTAAAGTATAACAAAGTCACCAAAACTTTCCTAATTGCAATTTAAATGAAATCAAACTATACATAATTTCCAATAAAGGAATCCACCAAGGACCCAAATGCAAGCATTAATCAACCATTCAAAGCCAAATGAAACATTTTAGAATTCAAAAGGTCCATGAGCATGAAAAGGTCAATTAATCAACTTATTTAGGGAAATTAAAGAAAATGGGTCACCACAAGTTCATTTAGTCACAAGGTTCACAAATCCATGCATTAAGCATCACCTTAGCAAAACATGGTAACCCATGAAGGCCAACAAGCAATTGAATTGAAACATTAATACTACCAAAGACTCAACTGTGAACACTAACCAAGCATTCAAGCTTAATCAAACACTTTTAGGAACTTCAAAGGTCCAAAAAAATAAAAGAAAGCCAAATAATGACTCAACTTGCACCCACCTTAGGACCTAATTGCAAATCAAAAACCCAATTGTCAACATTAATCAACCATTCAAAATCAATCAAAACATTCAAGAAATTCAAAGGTCCTAAGAGCCAAGAAAAGATCCAGCCATGGTTTGAATGCAAATATTTTAGGGCCTAATGGCAAGAAATCAGCACATATTTGGGCCTTTGAAGAAATGATTGAGAAATTAGGGGTTAAAGCATAAATTTCAGAATTACTTCATGCATGCAACGTAGAAGATTTCTGCATTTTGAAGCTTTCTACAGCTAAACACATACCGGCTGCATTTTTGTTTCTAAGCTTTGCGGCAGTCTTTCATGCACATAGTTCCACAATTCCAGCCAAACAAATACATGCAATTAGCTTTGCAATTACTTGAATTAAACATGGTTGAACATCCCTTAACAATGCAAATAATTGGAAGAAATTCATGCAAAACTATGAAAAAGCCTCAACGCATTTCTGCAAAATTTCTCTTTTGCTGCAAAAACTTCATTTTCAAACCACGGTCTTAGACACCAGCAAAAATATCAAAATAGCCAGATGACCCTAAGATTCTCCTAACATGAACAACCGAGAATTCAGCATCAAAGGGATAAAATGAATTATTTCCACATCGACCAACAAAATTGCCAAGACAGGAGTGTGCAAAAACCCAAAAAAGAGAACTTCAGCAATAAGAGAAAAGACACTTTTCTTTACAAAGGAAACTTCAACTCATTTTTCACACCACGCAATTCTCCAAACACCACGTAGCAAAACAAACTTCCCAACACCACGTAGACCCAGATTTTAATCTATCTAGACAATGTGTTTGACAATATTTCTGCAACAAACCAATGCCTTGTCGCAGCCTACTGTCATGCAAGCACCAGCAGATTTTCGTGCACCGCCCCCCCCAATCAAATCATACAGCCAATGCCCAAGATATACAGAAACAAGAGGAGAAGAAAACAAAGGCAAGATAGACAGCAAATAGCAAAGATGGGAAAGCTACGGAACAACTTAATAAATCACAGCAAGAAGCGTGATAACTCATGCATCTTCTTAGCAGAAAACTGGTTTCCTATACTGCAGTCACAGGCTTTACTCAAGACCCAAAAGTTCAGCAAAACATCTAGCCATACTTCGTATCAGTCTAAAGGATCAGAGCATGAACAACAATACTTTCTCACATAAAAATTCAGATGCAAACCACATAAAGCTGGAAACTTTCTTTGTTTTCTCACTCATGTCAAGCAGGTTTATGCGAAATCAGCCACACGGAACCTCCCATTTACTATCCCAAATCCTCTAATATTATAACTTCATAACATGGGTACGATAAGGCCCGACAAATCACTCATCATCCAACTATTATCAACAAATTTCCAGGTGCGGTAGAAAAGAAAATGCAGCAAAAACATAAAACTTGTACCAAGTTCATATCCTGTCATACGCGCCTAGCCACCATCCCAAAACCTCCATCTAAGCACAGATTTTGGGGAAAGAACACAACTTGAAATGGAACTTTGAGGGAGTGAGTAGAGTTTCATATACCTATCAGCCAAAGAAACAGCTTTGGAGGTCGGTGGAAGTAGCTTCCCGCGAGTGAAGGCGCTTCAGTTCTCGAATCTCTTCCTTCTGGATCTTCCTTTTTCCAGATTTCTCTCACTGCCTCCTTCCTTGCTGCTTTGTTTCTGGTCTCTTCCGGTCTCGTCACTCAGCCTCTCTCTTTTGCTCTTTCATCAGCCCACAAACGCCACCAGAAACCATCCTCTGACCTTTTCCTTTTGTTTAGTTTTTGTTCGTTGATTCACTCTTCCCTCTTCCCCTTGCTCTCGGCTCAACTATCTCAGCTTTCTCTCTTTCTTACCCTAGCCTTCTCTCACAGCCAAACCTTTTTTCCTTTCAGCCGTCAATCTCTCCCCAAAAAACCCTTTCGCGGCTGCTGTTTTCCTTTCTATTTATACGGAACTCCAAGTTCCTAAACCCTCACCCCAATGGTGAGGATGAAAGGCCTCCCTTGCCTTCACATCCAGCCCTCCAAAGGGACCTCCGTGGCTGTCCTTGCAAGCTGCAAAAAAAATGCAGTTGCATGCCGCGGTTTGCTTCTTTTTTTTTTTTTTTAATAATTTAACAAAATTAAAAAAAATAATAAACATTAAAAACAAAAACAATTTAATTAACATTAGAAACAACAAAATGTAAAAATCCAATTTTCCCCTTTTTCATTTTCCATTTTCATCGTTTTTCTTGTTTTTCTCTTTTTTCTTTTTCTTTCTAAATAACTTAACAAAAATAAACAAAATGCCAAAATATTGAAATTAGAAGAAATAAGCATATTTTGTGGACAATTTCTTTTTTTTTTCTTTTTCCCGAGAAAACATTATATTAAAACGACTAAAGCATATTTTTGAATGATTTTCTTTTTCTTTCTATTCTTTTCGAGAAATTCTATAAAAATAAAAACTAAAAAACTAAAAACTAAAAAGTGAATAAAACTAAAATAAAATAACACTTAAAAGGATTGAACAAACGATAATGAACTAAAATGCAAACCATCTAAAACAAAAATCAACAGTTAAAAATTATCACTAAAACGAAGCATACAAATTATTTAAAAATTTGGTGTCTACAGGTGGCAATTGAATACTTCACCAAGTGGGTCGAAGCAGAATCATTCAAGCATGTGACAAAGAAGGTGGAGGCAAATTTCTTAAGAGATCACATCATATGCCGATTTGGAGTGCCAGAAACCCTGATCACAGGTAACGCCAAGAATCTCAACAATGACATGGTGGACGGGCTATGCGAGCAGTTCAAAATCAGACATCGCAACTCTGCCATCTATAGACCACAGATGAATGGAGCCGTGGAAGCTGCAAACAAGAATTTGAAAAAGATCATCCGCAAAATGACTGAAAAGCACCGTGATTGGCATGAAAAGCTTTCTTATGCACTAATGGCATATCGGACTTCTATTCGAACTTCAACTGGGGCAACCCCCTACTCGCTCATGTATGGAATGGAAGCTGTGCTACCTGCCGAGGTCGAAATCCCTTTATTGCGGGTTCTAATGGAGACCAAGTTGGAAGAGGCTGATTGGATAAAACAGCGTTATGAACAACTGTCCTTGATTGATGAAAAACGGCTTAATGCTATTTGTCATGGCCAATGTTACAAAAAACGCATGGCCCGGACCTACAACAAGAAAGTCCATTTGCGAACATTTGAGGAAGGTGACAAAGTACTTAAACGAATTTTGCCAGTGCAGGATGAGGCCAAAGGCAAATTTGCCCCAAATTGGCAAGGGCCATTCATAGTTCAAAAGGTATTGCCTGGTGAAGCACTCATTTTGGCAGAGATGGAGGGACAGATATTCCCTCAACCTATCAACTCGGACATGTGTAAGAAATTCTTTATTTGATTATGCAAATTTCTTTTAGGAAATCACGCAAGGAACGAGGCAAAAGTCAGGCCATCTTCCTTTCCAATCAAAACATTTCACCTCTAGTCGTCCCCTTTGAGCTATCAGAGCAATCATTTTTGTTTGGTAACCCCTGAGAATTGCAAACCCTACACTGGGGCAAATTTATTTTAAAAGAAAGAACCCCACACTGGGGCAAATTTAGTTTTTAAAAGAAAAATGCAAAAGTGAAAAAAAAATGTAATGAAGAAAATGCAAAGAAAGAAAAATCCAATCAAACTGGGGCAAATTTCCTCGGTTTCGTTCAAAAAATTGGAAATAATTTCAAAATGATGCAATCTCAGGCAATTTCACACCTTTCATCAAATTTGCTTTCAAGCTTCAACCTTTTTCAAAGCATCCCACCTGACCTCATTACAAAAGCTCAAAAGTCCTGACTTTCGTCACTTGTTGTATTTCTATTAAGAAATTCGCTAATCAACTGGCAAGTGATATCCATAATGCCTTCACCTAAACTTATATGGGAAGCGCATTTTACTGATGCCAACAATCTTCAACTCATATTCCTGAATCGATCATGGTCGAGCTTTTCCATTGTTCCTTAGGTGAAAACCCGAAAGAGCACCTCAAAGCAAAAAAAAAAAAAAGATGAAAAAAGAAAAAATAGAAAAGAAAAAGATAAAAAAAAGAAGAAAAAGAAAAAGAAAAACAAAACAAAAGGGGTGGGGGCAACCTCGGTGAAAACCCGAAAGGGCGCCGAGGTAGGGTCTGCAACGAGCGAACACGAGAAGGAACAGTTGGTGACTTGGTTCATTTGGATTTCTCCTCATTTTTGTAATACTGCTGTCAATGTTGAATTCCAGAACAAAGATATCCAGAGATTCAAATATGACATCTGTTGGCTGAAAGTTGTGTCACATTGTAAAAAATATATATATATATATATATCTTTTCTGCAAAGTACATTTCTTATGAAGTTCATTTTTCTCAATTGCTTGTAGTCGTGGCATGTTCATTCCTGCATTTCATGTAAAATTACCTTACTTATATCATTTTTTTTAATCTTTGAATTTTGGTTAATGACAATCCCCACGGTTTATTCGAAACATACTCGGATTTAGTTTTCTTTTGAAAATGGGGGAGATCCAGCAAAGCTGTTTACGCAGGTTTCGTGATATGGTAAGTGTATACATGGTAGCTTGGGAAAATGTCACAGCAAAAGTTGACAAAGGCATCGAAAAACTCATGTTTACACGATTCTCAAAGGAAAACGGGTCAAATGATGGTGGCAATTTCTTTGTTTTTTCTCTTTTGCAGGAAATTGCATGCACAGATGAAAGCAATCACATCTCGTACTGGAATTGGTGTTGGAAAGAGTTTTCCAGTGAACAAAGGCGGATCAAAGGTGTCACAAGCAAATTTGATCAAAAGATACAACAACATGGAAATACAGAATCAACCATCGGCTCAGAGGCAAGGACTTAACCTCTACTGAAAAATTTTGGGCTATTTTCAGGTAAGTATACTGGAATTTCCCGATTTTAAATTTTCTGTTCGGGTCAGTCCCGTTTAAATTTCCTGTTCGGGTTAGTCCCGTTTAGATTTCCTGTCTCGAGTCAATCCCGATTTTAAATTTTCTGTTCGGATCAGTCCGGATTTTAAATTTCCTGTTCGGGTCAGTCCCGTTTAAATTTCCTGTCTCGAGTCAGTCTTGATTTTAAATTTCTTGTTCGGGTCATTCCCGTTTAAATTTCCTGTATCGAGTCAGTCCCGATTTTAAATTTCCTGTTCGGGTCAGTCCCGTTTAAATTTCCTGTCTCGGGTCAGTCCAGATTTTAAATTTCCTGTTTCGGGTCAGTCCCAATTTTAAATTTTTTGTTTCGGGTCAGTCCCAATTTTCAATTTCCTGTTTCGGGTCAGTCCCGATTTTAATTTTCTTGTCTCGGGTCAGTCCCGTTTTAGATTTTCTGTTCGGGTCAGACCCGTTTAAATTTTCTGTTCGGTTCAGTCCCGTTTAAATTTCCTGTTCGGGTCAGTCCTGTTTAAAATTTCTTGTTCGAGTCAGTCCCATTTAAAATTTTGTTAAAAAGGTCAGTCCCCATTTCAGAAAGCGTCAATCGTTCGAGTCGTTTACAGCCGAATAACAGGTAAGCATTTAGTGTCTATTTCTTTGTCTCAAGTTTTTTCAAAACTCAGACAAAGAGGGGCAAACTGTAGACACCAAATTTTTTTAATTTATTCTTATTTTTTATTTTTATTTTAGTGATAATTATTATTTACTTTTTATTTACTAATCTCATGATTTTTGTTTCAGGCATTTTTTTAGCATTTTATAGTATTTTAGATTATTATTATTTATTATTTTATTCTAGTTTTGTTTATTTTTCTATATTTATTGTTGCTCGTTTAATCGTTTAATTTTTATTTTTTAAGACTTTCTAGTATTGAGGTTTATCGAAAAAAAAGAAGAGAGAAAAAAGAAAAATGTTCACAAATTTATGTTTATTTTCTTTTGAATTCAATTTTGTAGCATTTTATTTATTTTGTTAAAATTATTTCATTATGTGTTAAAAAAAAGGGGGGGAAGCAAGCTCACGAACCATGAGAAGCATAGGATACTAGCCCTTTCTTCATGTTACAAGTTAAGCAGAAAAATGCACGAAAAAATTGCAGAAGTAAAAATGCAGCTTAGCCCATTTCGTTTTTCTGCCATTTTCCCATTGTTTTTCCTTTACCCTTGGATTACCTTGATTTATCCTACCTGGCTCTCATCTGGAATGAAGAGTGATCGGATGGTCATAGAAAAGTGGGGAAATGAGATTTATCAAGGGCCGTGAAGATCAGGGTTTGAGGGATATAAAAAGGGAGAGCTACGGTCGAGAGAAAAAGGGGGACGGAAAGAAAGACAGAGGGAAAGGCTGCGGGCCAGGACAGCGAAGAGAGAGCAAGAAACAAGGGAGCTGGGTAAGGCTGAGAGTGAAAACGAAAACGGGAGAGGAAAAAGTCAAGAGGTCGGGAGGTTAGCTGAATGTAAGGGACGGCAAAAGATAGAACAGAAAAGAGACAGGAGAGAACTAGAGAGAGCGGAGTGAGGAGAAAAAGGGAGTGACGGCTGGGGTTTGAGAGAATAGAGGGGGAGACTGGCAGCTAGAGTATTAGGAAAGGAACCTAGGGAGAGAACGGCGGATGAAAAGAATATGGGGTGGCTGAGGTCGAGGACAACGGAAGAGAGTTTCTGAGCAAGGAAGAAAGGAGACCTGGTGCTACTTCCCAAGGAGCAAAGCGACTGTTGGAATCGTTAACCTTCACTACCGCCATCATTCCAGCCCCTCATTGCCATCAGCAGATCTTCACCAACGTATTTCAGTCACAAACTCATGCCAAGTTTGGATTTTCTGTTGTTAATGTTTGATTTATTGTTGATGAACGCATGGAGGTTCTGACCTGGGGTTTTAGGGACAATAGTTTGGGGCTCCTCAGTGGTGGTTTTATGATGAATTTGAGATGCTTTTGTTTGGGATTTATGGCTGATATTTGTGATAAGTAAGCCCAGCAAATTATAGGTTTTCTCTTTGTTATCAGATTTGCATGACCCTTTAATCTGTTTTAGTTTATCTTAAGATTTTTTTATTCTGCTTGGTTTCTGTAAGCAATAAAGGGTTAAGGAATATGTGGGGTTTTGGCTAAAAAATGATGGTTTGGTTCTGGTCATATGAACATAAATGCATGGGATAAGTTGTGAAGTTCGTAGCGGCACTTTGTTGCGGCAGTGGCAAATGACGCATTGTTTAGTTACAAGAAATCTCCTTTTTGCTTGAACTCTAGGATGGATAGCCATTGGAATGTTTGATGACTCCCTTGCTTGGGTTTAGATTTCCTTGGGATGAGCATTGCGTATAGAGTCTGCTGCAATAAGCTTGAAAACAATCGACTTGTTGCAGCAGTTTTTCCTTTCTTTAGAACACTAAAGTTAGTAGTTGATTGATATCCTTGTCGTTGTTTGCTGTTTATTTGTGATAACATGAGCAATGTTTGTTTCAAGCTGTCCCTTGCGTGTTAATACTATATCTTCATGATGAGTTCAGGTTTTGGTTCAAGATTGGGTTGTTTTCTTGAATGTTGTAGCTTAACATTTTCAAACAAAGTAATAAGGTTTTTTTTGCTGCATTTTGGTTGTTGTTCTTGCTTTCTTGGACCTGTAACATTTTTGTTTGGGATAGTTAAGGGAAGATAACCATGCTTGAACATTGATCAATGGGTGAGTGAATATGTGTGTGAGTTTGGTGGATAAATGGGGAGTTTAATGCAATGTTTTTCAGCATTTAACATACACGAGTTGAAGTTGCGAAATTCACAGCAAAGGAAAACTGCTACATTTTTGTGTGTGTTGTTTTCTTCCCCGTGGCTGCTCTTTGAACCTTTACACTTGAGTTGCATGCTTAATTTGGTTTGAAGGGAAAGGAATGGAAGGTTTTGGTGATGAGTTTGTATGTTTGGAGTCTGCAATACTTGAACTATGATCAAACACCTTGCTGGAAAATGAACAAATCAGGTTGCCGAATGCTTGCTGGAATTTTCTCCAGCATTTGTGTGTTTTCCCTTCTATGTTTTGGTTTGTTGGGATGTTGAAATTGTGTGTCACGTTGCTTAGATTAAGTTTTTGAGTGTTTGGTTGGAAAAGGGTTGATCAAAAATTGTCTGGGACATGAGTTGTGTAAACTAAAATGCAGCAGTTTTCTCCTTCGGTTGCAGAAGCTTGTTTCATGGCTCTTGCATGGAACTTGCATGCAAAAAGGCTTTCAAAAAAAAATTGCATTTTACTCCCCTTAGCTTCTGTCTATGCTACAAAGGCCCAATTACGTTCTAATTTCTTGCAATTAGGTCCTACCTTATTTGCATTTGAGTACCACAACTTGATTTTTTCAGGGCTTTTGTTTTCAGTTGGGCACTAATCACCTTTTTGTTGATTGCAATATGAACTCTGGGCGTTTATCCTTGGGATTTTAATGGGTTGATTGATGTAATTAATGATTTATTTGATTCTAATGGCATTTCCCTTAAGCAATTTTGACATTTGAGACTATTTGAGTTCAATTAGTGTCATGATTTACATTTATGTCTTTATTCACCATTAAATTGGTACCTTGATCTTTACTTTTATTTTGGAGAGTAAATAAATGATTTCACTCCATTAGGGTTCCATCTCCAGCGAGGTACACTCTATCCCTAATTTCTTACTTTAGGTGACCCTACATGCCCTATGTGATTTTACGTGTTTAATTTGCATGCCTCTTAAATGTTTTTATTATTATTTATTTATTTATTTCATTTATTTTCTTTGTTGGCTTTAGTTGGTATATTTATTTTTAGTTCAATTTTGATCATTTGAAAGGCACTTGAATGCCAAAGTTGTAATAGCTAGGTTATTATTTTATTTATTTTATTCCGTTTCCCCTTTAGATTGTAGTAGGGCTCCCCGAATGTAATAGTTAGGGCTTTATTTGCTTTATTTGCCTTGTGTGTTTTTGCATGCCTATGTGTTACGTGTTATCCGCTTTCTTAGGGCCTTGCATCTAGATACCGCACTCTATCCCTAATTTCTTACTTTAGGTGACCCTACATGCCCTATGTGATTTTACGTGTTTAATTTGCATGCCTCTTAAATGTTTTTATTATTATTTATTTATTTATTTCATTTATTTTCTTTGTTGGCTTTAGTTGGTATATTTATTTTTAGTTCAATTTTGATCATTTGAAAGGCACTTGAATGCCAAAGTTGTAATAGCTAGGTTATTATTTTATTTATTTTATTCCGTTTCCCCTTTAGATTGTAGTAGGGCTCCCCGAATGTAATAGTTAGGGCTTTATTTGCTTTATTTGCCTTGTGTGTTTTTGCATGCCTATGTGTTACGTGTTATCCGCTTTCTTAGGGCCTTGCATCTAGATACCGTACTTATGTGTTATGTGCTATACATGATTTATGTGTTTACATGCTTTCAGGTCTTACATGATTTATTTGATTATAACAAATGCATGCCGTCACCACACTAGTCCAACGCTAGTTGTGGCCTCCTTTTCCGAATCCACACTAATCCAACGCTAGTTGTGGCCCTTCATTCCGATTTTTCACTAGTCCAATGCTAGTGAAAACTCATAGACATGAGCTAGTCGAATGCTAGACCCTTAGGGACCTCCTACGCTAGATCATGTTTGTATGACTACATTACATTCTCATGCATATTTTTTCACTTTTTAGGGTCTTTTATCATGACATCCCTCCTTATACGTATATCCCTTCCCCCATATTTTCCCTTATATGTATATTCCTTACCCCTTTGTATGGAAACATAACATTAGACTTGAATTTCATTTAAGAAATAGAATTAGGGTATTGCATTTGCCTGATTAGATAGGGAAAGACTCCTTGAGTATGGGATATGGACGAGTTTGGCTTTCTACCCTTAGCACGCTCGTATTTCCTCTAT